AGGTAGTGTGAGTTTCCTCTAGAACTTTCTTGAAGGCCAGGACAAATGTCCTGGAGGTAAAAGAAAGCCTATTTTCTCTTTGATTTTCCAAGCTTCTCTGGCAGAGGCAATTGTACAGTGGATGTAAGCAATGTGATATACTTACCAACTACCTAGTGCATTGACCTCGGGCAGTTCCCTTAGTGCCCACTTCACAGCGTTGTTATGAAGATTAAATAAAGTCCTGGCACACTGAAGGTGCTCAATAAGTGATAGTCATGGCCAGCATGGCGGCTTTGTGCTTCTACCCCCAAGGCCGAAGTTCAGACCTTAACCTCTACGTGGGAGACTGGCTGCTGTACCCTCCTAACTAGTCTTCCTATCTCCAACTTTGTCCCTCCCTAATGTAGTCTGCATACCCGTGTTAGGTTAATTTTTCCAAACTATACCTTTAATTATGTCACTTTGCTATTAAAAACCATCAATGATTTCCCATTTTCTGAAGGATAAAGAAAAGCCCTTAGTCTTTGTCCAGAACTCTGTGGTTCTGCCTGGCTGGTCTAGCCTCAACTAACTTTATGTCTATTTGTCCATCATATGACCATTCCACACCATTCAGGTTGGTTTATTAGTAGTGTCCCATATATGCTTTCTCCTTTCCTTGAACTGTCTTGTTTATTCCTTAGTTGAACTGTCCAAATTCTTCCCATTTTTCAATTTAAGTACTCCATTCTCCTGAACCTTCTTGACATCACCAATGCGTCTTTGCTGTTTCTCTTCTTAAGATTTCTAATACTTTATTGCTCACTGACTAGGCAGCACTTATTGTTTTATTTTATCACAAAGATACATGACATTATTCTTTACCTAAAGAAAATGGTTATTAAAAATAGCTAAATTCTTCAGGCAACGTAATCTCCTTCAGGAAGGTAGAATTATTTTAGCAGATCAAGAATATAGGTTTGTATATCGTTGGCCTAACATTGTAGTGCTGCAAGTGGTAAGATTTTAGAATAAAGCTTACTTTGATCCGCTGCTTGCTATTTGCTTATGAGTGGATCTGTTCAGTTAACTTTGCTATAATATTCCACTTTTTTTTCTTTCCTTGCATGCATAAAATCATTTCATGTATTTCCTGAGAGAATGTCAGTTCTGTTTCAAAGACTATTCAGAGCATCCTGGAGAACCAAACCAAACCAAAAGCTCTACTATACACTTAATTTTACAGGTGCATATATATTTTTGTCATTCATATTTAGGTTATGAGAGTTAATTTAAATAATATGCATGAGAATACTTTGTTTACTGTAAAGCTTTGCAGAGACACTTGTTTTATAAGCTATTTTCAAAATGCCAAAAACGAACAATATCCCTTCATTTCCAGAGGGTAATGGCAACCTTGGACTCAATTCCTATATCCATTCCCCTTCCAAATTGGTTATGATTACACTTCCTCAGGTTCTTGAACTNAGGTGCATATATATTTTTGTCATTCATATTTAGGTTATGAGAGTTAATTTAAATAATATGCATGAGAATACTTTGTTTACTGTAAAGCTTTGCAGAGACACTTGTTTTATAAGCTATTTTCAAAATGCCAAAAACGAACAATATCCCTTCATTTCCAGAGGGTAATGGCAACCTTGGACTCAATTCCTATATCCATTCCCCTTCCAAATTGGTTATGATTACACTTCCTCAGGTTCTTGAACTATATTTAGGTGTGAAGG